GTTTACTGCTCTTTAATAAGGTTCCAAGAGGAGCCTCTTGCTTTATTAGGGTATACAGTTTGCTTTGAGAATCTTGGAAGTGTTACCCCAAAGCTGCATCTGAGGATCATCTAAGGTTCCATCCACTGAAATGTCAAAAGGTGGTCATCTCATTGAGGCTTAGGACACAGCTGAGGACACGGCCCAGGTACTCCTTAGTGTTCTTCTGTCCTAGGATGAGTTCTGTAAGGCATGCCTCTCAGGGGTTGACAGGGCCTCTGTAGCTGTTTAAAAAATTCACTAGGGGCTGGGGATGTATCTTAGCAGCAGAGCACTCACTTGCCTAGGATGCACGAAGCCCTGGGTTCAATCTCTCAACACTGCAAAAAAAAAAAAAAATTAGGATCAAAGTTCTCTTTACTATTTACTCCTAGGAGGTCTAGCAAAGTCTGTAAGGCATAGGATCCAAGGCGCTGGGCTTTATAATCCTAGCTGGAGATTAGGCCCCTCATTAAGACCTTTTCTGGGCACTGAAGTACTAGAAGGAAAATTAGAAGCCATTACTAGTTGCAGTAGACGCAGGCTGGAGGAGTGAGATTTATGACAGCATCTTGAACATGTTACACGTTAGTATAAAATGGTAAGTTTTTGCTGGCTGTAGAGTGCTTAGAATTAAAAAATGAGACCAATATCTTAACCTTGAGGCAATTTTGACATATTATAAGAATCAGACTAGTAGCCAGGTACTGGAAAGCTTCCACAGGCAGTCAAGAGGGTTTTATTACCTCATCTAATTTAAAGAACAATGTATTACTTCACCTCTAGTGTTTTATGTTATTGGAGATCCACTTTTATTGAGCAAGGCTTTAAGAAATGTCACAAAGGGAGGAGTGGGCATGCACATGTTCTCAAATTCTGAGAGAATGCTGAAAATAGGGGCCAAAAGAGACTTAAAGCTTCATATGCTTTTCCCCTCTGGGTTTGAGGCACTAATGGAAAAACAGTGCTGTGCTTTCTGACAGGAGATTCTAATTAGACGGCACAGCAATGACCCCAGCCTCTGCTCCCGGGACTTTGTGCATTGAGAAACTGAGAGCATCCGAATGGAAAGCTTTCTGATGAAACTTCTAACCTGAAAACGACTGGTCCAACTTTTAAAAATTATAAATTAAAAAGCAAAGAAGCTAGAGACAAGGTGACTTTAGGCACACATTACCTTGCATGCTAGAGGCGGACACATAGAGTCTAGAACTAGGAATACACATTTGCTGAAGACAGAGCTCCGGTGATGGAAAATTAGATGAGTGAGAATGTAGGAGAAATCAGTACCCTCCATTATTCTGAACATTTTTCCCCTTTTCTAAACACACTAGGGGAAGGTGGTACATGGCTACAGTCTCAGCTACTCAGGAGGCTGAGATGGGAGGATTACTTGTGGCCAGGAGCTTCAGACCAGGCTAGGCAACATAGTGAGGTCCTGTCTCAAATGAAAACAAATCAACAAAAATCATCAAAAAAACCTTGCAAGGATTGTATGATTACATTAGTAGAATGATATATAGCAAAGTCGAGGTGGTGGATTTTAGTAAGGCCCTAGGAATTTCAAAACTATCCTGTTGCCTTCTCACTTGGCTAAAAGCTAATGAACAATTTGGTTCTTAAAAGCCCTGCCACTTCTGCTATCCATTCTAAGAAAGAAGACTGATGCAGTGTAATTCTATCCAGTGAAAAAGTAGGGATCTGCGTTGTCTCATGGCCAACAGAGGTGGATCTTGTAAAATTTTATTTCAAAATCCACTGCTTCTGCCTTACTTATTTCCTGAACTGGAAAGCTTGTACAGATCCTGAGGTGGAGGGAAGGGAAAAAGAAAAAGTCTGAATGCTTTCTTTTGCACAACCCTTCTCTCTCCATCACATCCACACACTGTGTGTACTGGTCAGCTTTCCCACTGTTGGAACAAAATGCCTAACATACACAACTCGGGGAGGAAATGGTTTACTTGGCTCATGTTTTCAGAGGTTTCAGTTGATGGTTGGCTAGCTGCAAGACAAGTACATCATGGAGGATGGGTATAGTGGGGCAAAGCTGCTCTCTTCATGTGCGCCCGAAAGGAGAGCATAGAGGAAGAGCACCAGCAAGTTATATCCTCTCAGAAGGTCCCCCCAGTGACCCACCTACTTCAACTGGGCCCCAGCCCTTGACAGCACATTCAGCTACGAACACTCCCTTGATGATGAGTACAGCATCCCTGTGGTCCGGTCACCTCTCCAGGAGTCTCTTAATCCAGTACAGTTGGCAATGGGCATGAACTGGTCATCTCATTGGTCTTTCACTCTTGGTTAAGGGCACCGAATCCAGAGTTTGAGTCTTGTCTCTACTATCATGTCAGTCAGGGTTTAGAGCTAGACACAGAAACCATGATAGGTGTTTCAAGCAGAACGGGATTTAATGCAGGAATTCCTATATTTACAGAAATCTTTGCAAGAGTTTGGCAATTTTTACAAGACTAAATATGGTGCTAGGAATGTAGCTTAGTGACAGAGTATTTGCCTGGCATGTGCAAGGCCCTCAGTGCAGCAAAAAGACAAATACAAAAACAAAGCAAAAACAAAAAGCAGGAAAACATTAAACACACAATTTCTCTCAGACCCGGCATCAATTACACTCTGGGGAAAATGAAGAGTTTCATTCACACAAAAACTTGTACATGAATATTCACAGTGGCTCTATTTGTAGCAGCTCCAAAGTGGAAACAGCTCAGATACAATTCAATGGGTGAGTGATTACACAAACAATGGTATATCCATACTGTGGAATACTACTCAGCAGTAAAAATGAATGAACTCAACAGTAAAAATGAATGAACTATCAAAATACACAACTTGGATGAATCCCCAGAAAACAAAGGCAGGGAAAAAAACCATTCCTGAAAGGTTACAAGTTATGTGTCAATTATAGCACCTTCCCAATAACAAAACTTAAGAAATGGAGAACAGATTAGTGGGTTCCAGGGTTAAGATTGGGGTTGAGAGGAAGTGGTGTGGTTACCAAAGGGCAACGTGAGGCACCATGGTGGTGTTAGAACTGTTTGTACCCAGACTGTGGTGATGGGTGTGTGACTATACACATGCAAAACTGTATGGCACTAAATACTGTCAGGCCTCAGTATTCTCCTACCATCAACCCATTCCAAAATCCTCGGATGCTTAAGAGTCTTACATAAAATGGGGTAGCATTTGCATAAAGCCTACATACATCTTCTTGTATATTCTAAACCATCTTTTGATGGCTTCTAGTACCTAACACAATGTAAATATTGTGTAAATATTTGTTATATTGTTTAGGGAAAATGAAAAGGAAGAAAGACTACATCCTCATATTGTAGATGCAACCATTCTGGGGCTAGTTAGGTGATCAAGGTTGATTGAACTCCTGGATTCAGAGCCTATGGATACGGAGGACTGGCTGTACTGACACTTTGGGCCAGCTAACTCTGTTGATTTGGGCATGCTGTGCATTGTAGGGTGCTGAATAACATACCTGGCCTCCACTCACTAGCTAAAAACAGCACAGCTCCTGTTGTGACAGATAAAAATGTTTCCGGGAATTGTCAAATGTCTCCTCAGGAGTACAATCACCTGCAGGTTGAGAACCACTGTGTTAGGGTAAACACAGTGGGGACACACCCTCATGGTGTGCCATTATTGTGTAGCTTGTACTTTCCTTCCGGTTAATGTCATTTCCCACCCAGATCTAGTGCTGACTGTAAATTCCTAACTCCTACCACCAACCTCCTTCCTCATTTCCCAAACCAAAAAAACAAGAAAATCCTCTTTATCCCTCTAACTTTCTTGTCATGGGCTGAATTTTGTCCCTTCCCCATTTCATATGTTTAAGTCTTAAAGCTCAGTAGCTCCAAATGTGAATACATTTGGAAATAGGGTCTTTAAAGAGATAAGTTAACAGGTGATAGTTAGGGTGGGCCCTAATCAAGTGTCAGTGGTGTCCTTAAGAAGAGGAAACCAGGACACAAATACATAGAGGCATAACACCATGTGAACATGAAGATGGCTGTCCACAAGCAAAGCAAAGAGGCCTGGGGACAAATCAACCCTTATCTTGAACTTCTGGGCTCCAGAATTTCGGGGAAATAAATTTCTGTTATTTAAGCCACCCAGCCTGTGGCCTTACAGACATTTCCCATTTTCATCTTATCTTTAAACTATTTTATTTTAGTATTTTGTAAATATTTTATTTTCAGGCTCTAACAATATTGACTTTATTTACTTATTTAGTGGTGCTAGGGGGTCAACCCCAGGGCCTTGGACATCCTACCGAGCTACACTGACAGCCCAGGCAATATTGGTTTTATTTTGATGATTTCTTCTACTATCACACTTACTAGGACAAGTGAATTTCTTACCAGTTGTGATTGGGTGTGAAAGCTATGGGACTAATGGGGCATATTTCCTGAGTTACCAATTTTTCTGGAAAACGTTAAATAATTTGTCCATGCATTATCTTAAACCATATTTACATGAAAACATGTTGTCAAGATAACCTAATATATTTCAAAGATATTTCTACCTTATAGTGAGTTTGAATGAAAATGCTTCCTCTGCCTTAGGGTTTCATTCCCCATATAAAATGCAGACAGGTGGGATGTGAAACCAGACCTGTCTATAAAGCTAAGGAATATTCCTGAGGAGTTTTGGGGCAGTGGAGACTTTTTACTTAATCCCGAGCTTTCCTGATTTGGGATTCCAAGTCTGCAGCCCAGGCTGTTTTGTCGAGGCTGTGCCAGTAACTCAGTTCATAATTTGGGGCGATTATCTGAGGCTACTTACGGGGGAGTGGGCTATGTGCCCACAAGCAGAGTGGAGATGGGGAAGTTTGCCTTTCCCACACACCTGCTATGTCCGTGACTGAGTCACCGCCCCTCCTTTTCCTGCCCAATGTGCAGCGGCCAGATGGAAGCGAACTCAGTACACACCAAACTGCCACGTCCAGGCTTACTGACCCGGGAGGACTTTCCAACACTTTCTTGTGCTGTGCACGGGTGGGGCCCAAGACCTTCTTGTCCTGCACGGCAGGTCCTGTGAGCTTCAGTCCTGAAAAACGTGGCTGCAGAGCTAGGCAAGGGGTGAGCTTAGTTATTCTTCACACATGTGCCACGTTTGGGGGCCCGGAAGGCTAGGGTCCTTCAAGTAACGTAGCACTGGACTCCTCAGCAAGGCGTGCGGCAGCTTCCGGGCGCCCTGAGTCTCTGACCCCTGCCCGGGACGCCTGGATCTGGATTTCAGGGCCGTTTCCTAACGGAGCGGTCAACCCAGAGTTCCTCCCGCCCAGCATCCTCGAGTGACACTAGGATTCCCGGAGATTCGGAGCGGGGAGGGGAAGACTGGGGCCCGAGCCCAGGCCGCCCACGGCCCGTCCCAGCACGTTCCCGGGTGAAGAGAGATGCGGGCGCCCGAGACCAGCAAGCTCCTTCCTCTTCCCGGAGCCGCCACAGCGGCAGGCCCCGCCCCCGCGAGGCGCCGGCGAGGGGCGTGGCGCGGCGACGCGGGGGTGGGGCCTGCCGGCGGGCGTCCACCCGCGTCGCACTGACGTGGACGACGCGGCGCGCGCCTGCTGTCTCCCGGCGGCCGGCCCGCCCCCGGCCCTCCCCGCCCGGCCTCCGCGCCCTGTCAGACTGTGGCGGTCGGCAGCGTGGCGCGCTCTCCCTCGGCCGCAGCCCTGCGAGGCGGCTCGCGGTAACACACCCGCACGTCCCGCCTGCCCGCATTCTGCCCTGCCCTGCCCCTGCCGCCCGCCCTCAGCAGCATGGCACACGCGCCGGCGCGCGGCCCCAGCCCCCGCGGCTCCGGGGACGGCGGCGTGGGCAAGCCCAGGAGGGTGGCGCTCATCACCGGCATCACCGGGCAGGTGAGTGGGCGGCGGGCCGGCCTGCGCCCCACGTGCGCGCCTCCCCGCTGCCGCCACCCGGCCGGGAGGGACCGCGCGGGGACGGGTCCTGAGCGCGGCTGCGGGTCCTCGGGACGCGCTCCTCACCCGGCAGGGCTGCCGCTCCCGCCTGCAGGTGACGCGACGCGTTTCTCCGATCCCGCAGGGTGCACTTGGACTTCCGTTCCTTGCAGCGCCTCGTGCCTGGGGAAGGCGGAGGACGCGTGACCTGTGATGTGTACGGGGGTCATCTTGGTTTTCCTCGCCTGACCCCCAGGCTTCTGAGGCAGGGAAGGGATGCCTGGCTGTTTTGGATCCCCTGCATAGATTCCAATAGAAGAGAGAAAATGAAAGAACATAATACTTTGGAGTCGCAAACTAGGGAATATTGTTTTTGAGGGGAGGGCTCACAAAAAGTTTACACGAACTTCTGGGATCCATGTTCACACAGCTTGAAGATGTCTGACAGACTGGTCCAAAAGTGAGACTAGCGTTCCATTTCCAAAGAATTGAGCCCCCGGAGTGAGGCTGAAGGGGAGCTGTCCTGAGTGTTGGAGCCTGGGCATGGCTAGTTTGCAGGGTCATCTGCTTAGGGATGTTGCGACAGGTAGGGCATCACCACTGTCTCCTCAGCCTGTGTTGTTTTACAGTCAGTGGTGATGAAAAAAATCGTGCCCATATATTGCTGTTGAAAATGTAGTGAATCCCTGGATATCTCCTGGTGGTGGCCAATAAAATGTTGAAATAAAGGTAAAGTTAAGATGATAGTGGCTAATACACACTGGACTTATTATAGTCCAGTCACTTGACATTAACTCTTTAGTTCTCACAACAAACTCCCTATCATCCCCACTTTGGATGTGGAAATGATGCCGAGGAGTTTGGTTTGCCTGAAGGCAGACAGAAAGTGTCCAGTTGGGACTGAAACTGCCCGCAAAGCAAAGGAGAAGGGGAAATTGGCCAGTCTCAAAGTATTAGCCAATTTCAACTACTGGATACATATTAATTTCTAGTTATTTGAACATCTTTTTTTAAGGCAATTAAGATAGGTGTTTGTAAGCTGGTAAGAGAAGTGGATAGGAGATGGATCTCAGGTTGAGGAAGAAAACCCACAATTCTAGGCAGTAAGACACATGAGGGCCTACATGATGTTTTGCCTCTCTTTTGTGGTGCTGGAGTGGAACCCAGGGCTTAACAGGTGTATTCTGAGCTACACTTGTGGTGGTGAACCTATGGCACACGTGTCATTTCTTTGTCTTTTAAGACAAAAGATGTTAATGTATGAGTTGTTTTTTCCAAACCAAAACCTCAGTGCTGAGGTTTAATTGCAGTATTGGCATTTTGTGATAAATGAGTGGGTTTTGGGTTGCAGTCTCTAAAAGGTTCACCACCACTGCACTAGACTATCCTCTTTTTCAATGCTGGGAACCTTTCTCCCTGTATTTGCCCTGTATTTCAAGTTCTCAGAGTGGATCTGGAGCTCAAATGTTTACCAGATGTACACAGTCTTTCCCACATACTGGAGATTGAACACAGGGCCTTCACTTTGAGGTATATCCACCCCTTTCTCCACTTCCTTTATAAAATTTATCTATTTTGAGACAGGATCTCACTAATTTGCCCAGGCTGGGGTTGAGATTGGAATCTTCCTGCTCCAGCCTCCCAGGGCTGGGATTACAGGCATGCACCAGCACACCTGGCAAGTTTATAAAATCTCATGAAAGTAGAGGGTTTTTTTAAGCATTCTCAAGAAACCAGTTTTAAAACGTTAATGTGCTATGTTAGTTTGGTTTATACCAATTTAAATGACCATCAGTATGAATCAGTGCAGGTTAGAGATGGAATCATTTAGACCTCTGAGAGTGGTCATTTGGCCGGTACTGAGGGGCCAGGAAGGCTTGCAAGTGGCCCCTGACTCTAGTTTGACCTGTAGGCTGCCACAGGGGTCGTCTCCCGAAGCATTGCCTAGCACACCACTCCCTGACCTGGTGTTTCTCACTGACCACCTCGTTTCCCACTTTATACCCTCGCTTTGGTCTCAGCCTCCTCTGATCTCTGCCCCAGCTCCAACATCAGCACTTGGCATCATTTCCTTGTAGGTACCACACTGGCTTCCTAGCATAGCCTGGAGCACTGTGTTGAATTCTGTAGCTGCCATAAAGTACTGCTGATGCAATGTGCTGCTCTTCTATGCTTTTTATTTATTTTCTAGGACAATGACTCCCCACCTGGGTAGCAAGGGTCTCTGGAGGACTGTGGCATTAATGCAAGGGATCTCTACCTTATTGTACATCTTAATGTTAGCTGAGAACTTACCGATGTACTCACTCTGCTGGTCATATTATATGCCTAGATAAGAGGGAAGCATAACTTGTATCCCCGAGTATACCTGCCTAAGTAGGCTTCAGCACATTCATAGAGGTCACACACCTAGTGAGTGTCAGGGCTGATCTAAATCACAGAGTCAAACTCCAGGGCAGTTGCTCTAAGCTGTTTTGTATATTGCCTCTGATAAGTCACATATGTTAGTTGGGAGAGAGAGACAACAGACACAGACTCTCTAGGAAGAGGTCCCAGATTCAAGAGGTCCCCGCTGTGGCACTTGGGGCTGTCATGGCAGATGTCCACAAGGATTAGCTCACTAAATGGGTTATCCCAGATTGCTACTTGAAATATGAGAATAGTGTGGACAGCCAGGGTGTTTTATCTGCTATGCACTTCAGGTGTATATTCTCAGGCCTCTTCTTCTGGCTTTCCCCTCCTTTGTATTCTTGACACAGTGGTTGTGAATCTTTTTCTGAGATATGTACCTTATTAAATCACCTTTAAAGACACCCAGACCCTGGCTTTATATTGCTGCCTCCAGGCCCTCTGCCGGCTATACCCAAAGTTCTCCTCTGTTGTCTAATGGTGTTGGCTATTCTTTGTAAATTCATGGAAGTGTTCTTGCTGTCCTTTTAGTACTATTGCCTTGTACCTCTTTGCAGTCATTAGTAGTGGTTGACTGACAAGTCTTATTCCTTTTTCCTTTTAATTTGACTAATCTTGCCAAATGCAGCAACTCCACAAACTTTATGTGTACATATATATGTAGTCCCTGTTGGTGGGATAAGTTATTTATACATTTTTACACCTCTCCTTCCTTCTGGCTTTTTTTTTTGTTAGCTGTGGGGATTGAGCCCTGGACCTCGCGATACTAACCAGGGGAACATTCTACCATTGAGCTACATTCCTAGCCTCCATTTCCAAGAAAGATTTTTAGTTGGTTTCAATAAAACACATTATTGGATTCACCATAAAACAGAAATGAGGGGCTGAGGTGTAGCTCAGTAGTAGAGCATATGCCTAGCATGTGCAAGCATAGTTCAGTCCCCAGCATGTAAACACACACGTACACACACATGCACAAGAATGAAGAAAACCAGGAGTCTGTACCCAAAGAAGTGGTTTAGACATGGCCAAGCATTTAAATAAATGCTAAGTGAAGATTCCAAGGTTCTGCATGTGAAACCTGGCAGATGAAGATCTGTCTTTAAAGAGTGGACATAATCATGGTCTGTGTGCAGATTGAAGACAGCAGAATGTGGGTAAGTCCTGCATAGATGAATGAGTGGACACTTTGACTTATCAAGGTATGGTTATTTAAACCATATTATTTATTTTTCAAAATTTTATTTTGATGCCCTTATTTTATTTCACTTAAGAAAAAAAAGATTGTATTTCACTCTGTTGTCCAGACTAGCTTTGAACTCCTAGGCTTGAGTCATCCTCTTGCCTCAGCTTCCCAAGTAGCTGGACTGTAAGTGGACGCCACCATGCCAGGCTTGATGGCCTTACTTTCATTTTCAGTAATTTTCTAGGTTTCTTTTAAGTCTATTTTAGCTGCTGTAGAACACCTCTAACCTTTAAGGAGAATATGTGCAAAAATGACTGTGGTGACTCACACATGCTTCATCCTCTTTGTTTAAAAATTAAGCCCAGACACTCTAGAGCCCGAGGCAGGAGGATTACCAGTTTGAAGCCAGCTTGGGCTACATAGTGAGTTAAAGGCAGCTTGTATAACATAGGAAGGCCATGTCTCAAAAAAACAAAAATTTAATTCACAGTGTTAGGAAATGATAATTGAGAATTGGGAGGAAGTATTCTTTCTACAGTGGTCCTTAAGATCTTTAAATAATGCTTCAGTAGGTTTATAAGATACTAGCAATTTCATCTTATGGCTTACTTTTTAATGCCTGTTCAGTTTCCCACAAATTTCTCTATTCCAAAATAGGTATCAGAATAATAGTTTGTATAAGTGGAGATTTATGGAAATGTGATGAGGCCTATTAAATCCATTTAATTGGTAATGGCTACATAGAATCCTATAGTCAAATCTGTATCTAGTTCAATAGGGAGAGGTCCAAGATGGGTTAGTGATGTTTGCCTGGGAGGGGGATAGGAGTGAGCATGCATCCTGATTCTTTACAGGACTGTAACTCTTTGTGGGTAGGAAAAAAGTCACTTAGTCACTTACTTATCTAGAATAACTTGTACAGGCTAGGTTCTCAAAGTGCTTGATAGTTCTGTTAATTTTAAGTTACAGAAAATGGGCCTGGAAGTTACAGAATTCCATAGCCATGGGAATAAACTATTAGTACGTGTTCCTGGATGGTCAAATAGAGGCAAGATATTGTTAGGGTTACTAGGGAGAATTGGATAGTATATCCCTAGTGGACAAGTTGAAGTTTAGGGAAAAAAATAATTTTTTATAACATCAGATTGAAAGGACTTGGAATGTATACATTTATGGGAAAAATAACATACCAATTTTGCAAGATAGACTTAGTACTGTTTTTTGTACTTACGCTAACCACTGAATTTAAAATAATATTCCCTTGGCATACATGTTAGGACTTCAGAGCTGGAGTTAAATTACTATCATTACATGGAATAGGAAAGAGAGAGGAGGAAGTCCCCAGGTCACACAGAAAACTAGTGCT